GCTCTTAGCACTGCGTTTCCATTTGCAGACTGTCAAGCATTACTAGTGGGAGCAGCAGGTGGCTCATGGGCAAAGACTTCTGAGATCAAAGCCTGACTCTAACAAGGGAGAAGATGGGGAAGTCTTTGAGACCTTTTTGCAGTAGGTGACTTAATGAGGCGATCAGTCCAGAAAGCATTTTGATTTCTCTCTTAAAGAATGAGACGTTTTGAATGAATCCGGTTAGCCTTCTCACAGGTGTGCCGCCTTTGATGTCTATGGGAGTTGCTTTTATCTCTGATAGCTCAGTTTGTCTCACAACAATGACCAGGCCTTTTATCATGCTGCCAAGTTGATAGCAGAAGTTCAGGAGAAATGAGGGAAACTGGAAGCCACCATCTCCCGACGATTGCCCCATTGCCAATATATGCGGAAGATAATGAATTTAAACTAGCAACTAAGGCATTTTATGAAGGCTTGATCTATTAGTTTTCTGCTTCGTGGTGGAGCCTTTAGGGGCTCTGGTTTTGGCAGGTAAGCTTCTGGAGGCCTGCTGCTGCTAATAGCCAAATGGTACACAACAATAAACGGAGGGATTATTCGACACCAGGGCCGGGGGCTGGACTAGCCGAGCTGAGCCGCTCTAAATCAGACTGACGATATGCACAAGAAGCACCACTCTATGTAACACATCGAGCAATATATAGTGCGGTTCTCTCCCTATTCTTGTCCTGTCCAGGGCAATATCGGGATTTTTATTTATAATTCCCAAGTAAGTCATTATTTTTTTCTCCCCAGCTGCAGAACCCTGACTTGAATTGTATTTTCATTTTAAACATCAATAGTTCCTTGTGTAAGAGCATTCTTTGGCCTGAAAGTTCCTGGCATTTTCTACAAGGAATATAGCTGAGTAACAATTCTTTACAGGGATGGGAGAAATAAAAAATGACAGCCTAAAGATACGTGGTTAAGTTGTAACAAAAGCTAGCAGATAAAGCTTGGCAAAGATTTATGCAGGTAGATAATGTTCAGCCTGAGAAATGGGGGAAGAGGACACCCCACCCTCAAAAGAGCAAATAGTATAAGCTTCAAAACTGTAGTGAGATGAGGCTGGCTCAGACAGCATTAGCAAGGAGTTGTGTACCCTAATTTTTTTTTTTTGTCTCAGCAAAGGATTCCCTCTTCCTTTGGTTATCCAAAATATGTGCTATTAGCCATATATGTACATGTCAGTAATGTGTCCATAGACTGTGTTCATCAGCATGTGATATACTTTCTGCTTAAGTAAACAGACCTGGCACTGTGTCTGACTTTTAATATAATGGTATCTTAATTCTTTTATTTCTACATTATTTAAAAGCAATTTTATTTTATTTGTTAATAGTGTGGGTAAGTATGGTATGAGTATGTGTATTCATGTCTGTACACCTCTGACTCTGTGTGTGTGTATATGTGTGCATGTGCATGCATGTGTGTGTGTGTATGTTCCTGCTTCTGTGTGTATGCGTCTTTAAGGGTGTGTTCAGACAATTTTAACAGAGCAGGGGATTTCCACCCTGAATGTAGGCAGCGCCATGGTGCAGGCTGTGGTCCTGGACTGAAGCAAAGGAAGCCAGAGAAGTGAGCTCCAAAAGAAGCCAGAAGTGAGCTCCAGCATTCATCTCTCTTTTTTCTTAACTGCAGATACTACATGATCAGTTACCCCATGATCTTTCCACCATGATGGATGATATTTTTCAAACTATAATCCAGAATAAACCCTTCCTTCCTTAACTAGATTTTAGGAGGCAGTTAGTCAGAACAGTGAAAAAAATAGCTAACACATAGGGTAAGATCTTGATGCTTAAATCCCTGGCATGGTGCCCCAGCTAGGTGGTCAAGGGGTAGCTGATTAGAAATGAAGAAATGAAGGTAAGACAAGATCACAGAAGCAAATGTTATCACAAAAATCCCAGACAGGGCAGACAGGTGGTGGTTTTTTTTGTTTTGTTTTTAAAAAAATAAAAATGTGGAGAAAATAAAGTGAAAGCCATACATACAGTTATTTTAATTTCTCTACTTTTTAGGTATGTATTCCTGAAAATTATTTTTGTAGCTCTAGGTTCAACCAATTAATTCTGGTGCTAGAAATAAGTAATTTTCATCTTTTGTTGACAAGTGTGCAAAGACAGTGGAAGGAATTTTAAAGAAGTTTCTCTTAGTCTAAACAAACAAAAATGGTTTTGAGAAACAGAAGAGTACTTAAATTCCTTTTGCATCTGAAGAGTCCAAAGTGTTTTTAGAAAACAAATCTTTGAAAGGTCACAAACAAGAATTAGAAGGAGGTGGAGAAAAGGGAGGCTTTGAGCTTTGTTAGTCAAGGGTGAGTTTTTGTTAAATTGCACTTCCTTGAGAGGAAAGACCTTACTTCCTGATATGTGGTCCCTGAGACCTGTAGGGATGGTACCAACAGGGACCCTGTGAGAAATGCAGATTCCAAGGACCTTCTGAGAATTATGGGACCATATTTTGTCTGTTAACAAGACTCTGAGGTTGTATGTAGGCATTTTGACATATGAGAAGCTGTGTTGAAGGAAGCAGAGACCTGGAGATGTAATTTACATATAACAAAGTTTATCCATAATGAATGTTTTTTATTCTTCCTAGATAATTCTGATGTATAACACAGCCCAATAATCTGTAGTTAAAGGAGGGACGGTTGGCTATCATACTTTCCTAGTGGAACATAAGTGAGGTAGTGATACAGGAGGAATGCAGGACCTCTGAGACTGACCAATGGGGATTTAATGATTGATTTTACAAGGGAGAGCAGTCATTCGGGTCTTGTATTATGTTGGCATCATTTGATGGGCAATATCAGGAGTTATATCTGAGGCTTTCCTTAACTCTTCCTCATGTGGGGTTCCTTTCCATCCAGAGGTTAGGGGGATTCCATGATCCATAAGATGTTTAGTCATTCAGATTATGTACCAAATTCAGCACAATCAAATTCCAGAGGAGCAACCACAGGCATAGTGTTCTAGTTTCATCTCTGTTGCTGTGAGAAGACATCTCTGAGTCTTCTCTGAAAGAGTTTATTTGGCTTAAACTTGTGGGTCACAGCCCTGCATTGGAGGAAGTCCACACAGGAACTAAAGCAAGAGCTTGACACAGAAATCATGAGGAACACTGCTTATAGGCTCACTCACAGGCCCATACTTAGCCAGTGTTCTTAAAACAGTCCAGGACCACCTGCCTAGAGAATGGTGCCACCCACAGTGGGCCAGACTCTCCTATATCAATTAACAGTCTCCTCACTCACATGCCCAAAGGATGGTGTGTTATAGGCAAGTCCTTAATTATGGCTTTCCTCTATGTTGTCCTTAGTTGTGTCAAGTTGACAACTGAAACTAAAACTGGGATATACTATATCCAAGAATTCCAGAACACATGATTCTAGTAGCTTTTACACATGTAATAAGAGAAGACCTCCTTTTGTGATCTACCCCTTGGTTCTACAAAACTCTTCCAAGTACTCTTTTATATCTTACAAGGATTTTAGGATAACCAGAACACACTTGAACGTGCCTAAGATATATAACAACTCTCTGAATATTCTTTATCTATGCATTCCTACTTTCACTTTAATATCATGAAGAAGTGGAGGGAACTTCCTGTCTGAGGAAACTGCAAGCAGTCCTTTATCCCATAAGTCCTTGATAAAGTTGTTTCACCTGTGGACCAAGAAGGATGCCTGCTTCCATCTGTGTTCTCTTGATAGTTTCATTTTTTCCCCACAGTGGGCCGTGGGGTGCAGAGTTCTGAAGCAATGTCAATTTGGAGAATCAAAAGGCTGGCCCTATATGAGTTATAATCTGGCAGAGTCTCTGATTAATGTCACTCTTAGGTTCTTTGTAATTCTGGGTGAAGTTTTAAGATCATACAAGCAACTGAATGCTTGAGCTATAAACTAAGGATGACTGAAAAGTTTCCCAGAGTCTGTTATTGACCCCGATGCTTATAGGTAGATTGAA